AGTAATTTTGGAGCCTTTTGATGCTTTGAAGCAACTGCAGCAAATGGTGGTGAAGCCCCAAAAGCAGAGGTCGTGAGACTTCTCAATAAACTTCTGCCACAGCACCTTCACTTTTTTCTGTTTCATTTTGTTGTACTTTTATTTGAAACACAGGATAAATTTAAAATCACACATGTATCATCATTGGAAACCACTAAAACTGATGATTTGATAATGCCTTCTGCTTCCTAAGATGCTCTGATTCAATAGCGGCTTCCATTTGAATAAGCAATTGTGAGTCTTGTTTTCAGGACCATTCATTAGGGTTTATTAGTCTGGGATGTCTATGAGTTGTTTGTCCTGAGATTATGTTCATTTTTACTAAGCTGAGTGAATTTCAGTACTTCCTATGCTATCTTTGCCATGAAAAGGAACTACAGGTATTTTTATACAACACTGATTTGTGGACGGTATTTCAAATTATGATGACCACGATTCTACAATTATTACACTATTATTAGAACAAAATGTTTATGCCCTTAATAAAGACGCATATGTATTATTTTATCACTAGTTTGTTTTTTTTAGTATTTTAATAAATGTAGATCAATACGATGACTCTCTCCTGTCATCATTTAATAGTTTTATGCTTTTGAAAATAAAGTATTCTTCTGATGAGGGATAGAGAGAGAGAGAGCACTGATGACACCAACATTATGTTTTACAGGTAACAACTGACAGTTATTTTATGTGGGATAAGCAGGGATATCACCACAGATGTTTTCTATACCTGTGAGCCATAGACCCCAACAACTGTACCTGTTCGGCAAAAGTCAGTGCAATTTATTCCATTTCTTCCCTTTAGTTTCTGTGTATGACTGCACTCCAGAAAGTCATAACCACATCACTTCCCTTGAATGGATGTTGAGTTATGTTCATCTTTCCCTTCATTCTACCTATTCATTTGTCTTATCGTTGCCATATTAAATTCAGCCCACACACTTCACTGAGCATGTTGTTTTTGCCAATCCAGATCCCTTTACCTGCTTCCTCTATGCCTTGGTGAAACCAATGAACAGTGGACACATCTATAACCGGTATCACCTAATTCTGGACTTGGAATGGGAAGAGTCACACCACTAAGTAGAGGCTTTCCAGACATATTCCAAAAAGAAGAAAGACATGAGACAACTAATGCCCTACTGAGCTTAGGGTAATTTGAAAGAAGTCTCGTACCATCCCAAGGGAGAAGACGTGCTCTGGGCTTAGGTGAGGAATAGTGGTGTCCAAGAAAGACATGAGACAAATAATGCCTTTCTCTGAAGCTAGGAGAAGAGTGAAGTGGTGATCATGGAAGTGGCTGGTTACCTTCCCAGGAGGAGAGAGAATTTCTGCATCGTGTGAGGGTTATTTTTTACACTGTGACTGGTCTTGGAGGATGTGAGGTACTGGTGCTGAAGTGGTAAAAATTTTAAACACACTGAGGTTTTTTGCAGAGGCCACAGCACAGCCCACATCTGGGAATATGGGGTCTACCAGTCTGTTTCCAGTGGAACTTGGATGTACCCTAATTTTCCTGGGTTGATGATGCCTTTTCTCCTTGTCCAGATCCTCAAATTATCTGGGGGATTCCCCATGCAGATAATAAATGAAGTGGAAACTAAGCATCCCCAAGCGTGCTGGAAAATCTTGGGTTGTATTTGAAAGACTCATACATAGTCTGGTATTGTAGTTGAAGAAAAAAATCTTTTTTTCATAACTGAACAGAGGATGTGTCATTTCCCTTATTATTTGGTTTGTGCGCTTTTTTGGAAGCATAATATCCAAGATTAGCACACTCAGGCGAGTAATTGAATTGGAATATAATTACGAAAAGTTCACGGCTCAGGAAAGATCGGTGAGGAAGTAGGGACAGCAGAGGCTGACTTAAATTGACAGTGCTCTCAGGAAGCCAGGACAGAAGCAGAAGTCGTGTTCTGGGCAGCTTCTGCGAGGAAGCAGCAGAGGACGCGCACCTGCCTGTCTTCCAGGAGAGCGTCCTCCGGTTGTCAGGCATGATAGTCCTCTTTTTTCTGGGTGAGTGAGCCATGCTACAGGTTTGTCTGAGTTCATTCTGATATGAATTCTTAAGCTGCATGCTGTCCCTTCTAACCTCAGCTTAATAGGAGCTTACAGTAAGAACCACCAATTAAATTACAGACTTACATTTTAACATAGTTTATTACACTTGCAAAAATGTGCACTTATTCTTGCTTATTTGTTTCAAGCTCTATAAGAAAATGCACAATGTAAGAACTGCATCAATCGTTTGGGTTGTTTTTGGGTTTTTTTGAGGAGTAATTTAATGACTGTACTATCTACTATCATTTATAGGATTCATATATGTGCTAGAACATTTTAGAAATGAAACCTTCTAGCATATATTTACAAGTTATTGGATAATAAATATTAAGTCAACTATTTTGTTTCAAAGTTAAATAAAAATAAGTTTAAACTATTTAATTTCTCTAATTTTAAGGTCTAATATTTACTAACTAGGAGTCATTTAGTAGAACAACTTAACACTGAATCAAATACTTCTCATTTTGATCAATTTTTATGACCTAGGGATAAAGTGTGGGCTTATCTCTTTTGTATTGAATCCCCTGAATGTATTATAAGAGGTCAATAGAAAAGAATTTATTTGCATTTAACACAGAATACACAAAAATCCTACTTGCTAGGTGTGTGATTGGTGAAGCTTTCATATCTTCAGTGACTGGTGGACAAGAGATAGTTGTGATCATAGCTAAGTATTAATAGATATATAAGGATATTTTCTGTTTAAGCTAAATAGACACTTATGAACAAGTATACAACTTTGGGACAAGAAAATGAAGAAGATTATTTCAAATTACATTAAACATTAAAGAACAGTGAAAATTAGTTAAATCAAAGAAAACTGAGTCAAGAAGGAAAGGAATACTTTATATTTATATAATATTCACTTTATATAATATTCACTTTTTCTTTGAATTAAATAATAGTTCTATGGTGTTCTGAAATTTTGCTTCTCAGTTTCATTTCTAGAAATGTTTTCTTATTTCTTATATTGATTTCTAACATTTCCTTAATTATTTTCTTGTTATGAGGAGAAACTTAGGAGACTTTAATTTTTGAGAATCAGGCAGCACCGTAAGAGAACACAATGTAATTAGGACTTTATAACTTCAGTCAAAAATGCAATGGCTTTTTGTTTTCAACTTTTACTTCTAAATTAGCCCCCAAACCCAGTTTATGAAAAAGGAAAAACATTTTTAATTTTGTTCAGGTCAAAACATTTGCCATTCTTCATTCTCCAGAGTTCTTGCTTAACATCATATGAAAAGTTCTTATGGTGAGGAAATTTCTGTTGCCAAAAAAATGTGAGAAAGAGTGTATTTTTAAAACTCAGTGCATTTAATTTGCTAATGAGCAGTACAAAGCTTTACAAGGAAAATACAGTACACAGCATTCTTCACCTCATTACTTAGAACCTAGTTTTCTTTTGGACATTGTAGGAAAGTTTTTGAAAAATCCTAATTTAAATACAGACTCACAAGTCATAGTCAGGAGTAAATAAGCCAATAATAATTGAGGTTTCTTAGTTGACTCAGTATTGCATTTGAGTGGAATGTGTAGAAGATCATACAAAAATCAAGTGGATATCCAACCAAAAATTGAAAGAAAGTGCAACAGATTTGGGAATGATAACATGTAGAATTGATTGTGAATGATCCAGAAACTGAGAAACTGGTGAAGGTTTCATGATTTATACAGATTCACGACCTGTAAGTTTCTCAAAGGTGTTTTCACAAGGTATCATGATCGCTGGGCATAGTGGTGCATGCCTGTAACTACAGCAATCCAGACACTGAGGCAGGAGGATTGCAAGTGTGAGGCTAGCTCTGGACTAAATACTTTTTTTGAGACCCTGTCTCAAAAAAATTAAATTAAAAACGAAACAAGACAACACCAACAACAAAGTGGTATAATAACAAATGGCAAATGCAATGCCTGCTTCTTATAATTCATGTCTTTAAGACCAATTCCTATTTCAGGGTCTTTGGATTACTGAATTCATCCAAATAACTTTCGACCAATAATGAAAGGATCCCTTTTCTCTATGCTTGTCAATTTAGAAACACAGGAGCTTGGCTAGATGAGATTGTCCAGGAACACATGAAAATATAGTAAACTAATATGTCAATTTGCACTCCAGCCTTCAACAAAGAAAATTTGACCTAGCCACATCTGTGGGCCTTATGTACAAACACCACGACTCAGCAACAGTACACATGGTCCAATCAATTGTCTTGGATTCTTTTTAGGGAACAAGGTTTGGAAAAAGGTAAGACAAATGAAAAAAATTTCAGGGCTTAACCTGAAACCAGTAATCATACATTGCCGCAGGTGATTTGTAATTACATCATCCTTTTAAATAATCAAATAATTTGACTCTGATTGAGATATAGCTTATAGTTAATATATCTGTTTCTATAACTGAATTACATTTCCCATATTTTTTCTATTAATTGATTAGGTAGAGGTTACTTTGTGAGTTTTCAGAGTGAATTTGACACATTTATGTAACATACTAAATTAGCATTACTGTTTTCTTGATTTTTTTAAATTGCTGAAATCTTTTATACCTCTCCAAAAAACTTGTAAATATATGGAAGGTGTTATTTTTATTAGATATTAGTCATTTATGTATAAAACTTATTCATAAACAACTATGTTTGGCGTAAGTAAATACACATTTGTTGAATACCTGCAACACATCAATGTATTGGAGTTATAATCATGAATGACCCCTAATGCCTGTCCAGTAAACCTAGGACCCAAGCAGTTGTGACTAGCACATGAACTCACATCACAGAGCAGTAAATGTGATAATTAGGTAATCCTCAAAGATCTGGAGAAACAAATGGGGGTTGTCCATTCAGTCTGGGTGTAGGGATAGAAAGGCATAGAATTCAGAGGTTTCCTAAAAATAGGTAATGGTCATCGTCAGTCTTAAAGGACAAAGGAAGTATTCCAGAAGCAACACAAATGGAGGGCTTACCAGAATTTACCAGACAGTGAATCCTCTAAGGTGCAAGACAGCATGCAACATTTGGCAAACTATAATGCTTGAGGATTTCCAGATTGCACATGGTAAGATTTATCTTTTAAGGAACAGAGAAATGACCCTACTAGAGAAGTGCATTAGATAATTACAGGTGTAAAGAGCCTATCTGAGTAAGACAGAGATGAAGATAAATTGACAGATGAAGAGTTAGTCAAATGTTCAAAGTGAGAGTCAATAAAATTTGCAAGAATGGTTATGAGAGAGTCAAGTTGAAGATAGAAAAGAAATCCATCATGAATGAATACAGGCTTTCTAGATTTTTGTGTGTGGAACTGGGGTTTCAACTCAAGAGTTTTGTGCTTGCAAAGCAGATGCTTTTCCACTTAAGCCATGCCTCCTGCTCACAGTTCTAGTTTGGGTGCCTATATTAATGGTGGCCTTGCTAATGAAGTGAAGTAGTCCACTAGGGGGTACTAATGATGAGAACAATGACAAGAAAACTAGACTCCAGAAATTTTGTCCATAACATTCAGATTGAGACAAATTTTCTCCCTAAGACTGTAATACTGAAATATATTGGAATCAAATTGCATATTTGAGAATCATTAATCCAGATATTTTAAATCAAACCATGAAAGGACAAGGAATTGTTCACAGAGGATATAGAAAATTAAAAGGGGAAAGTTCCAGAGACAGAACCTCTACTAGAAATAGATTTTAACAGAAGATAAGAGGATTCTGGGAAGAATTCACTATAAGTAGAAAGCCTCAAGTGGATAAATATCAAGAGAACTGAAGAGAGAGTTGCCAGAGGAAGAGAAAATCTCAAAAACAAGTAAGTCAACAAAATGACCAAAGATGAAAAAAAGGTGAGATAAAATCTAAAAATTATTAAATTCGATGTTAAGGTAGCAGAGACATTTTTAAGAAACGTTTTAATGGAATAATAGTCCTAAGAATAAATTATAAGCTGAGGAGTAAATAGAAGGTGAGAATGCAGACAGCACATATAGACTATTTAAGATCTTGTGTAGGATAAATAGAGACATGGGAGAAGTCAAGGTTCATTTTAACCTTGTAATTTTACATTTTATTTCACATATTTCTACTACTTACCATTCATAACCTAAATTTGGGGGAAATGTCCAACAAACGATAACATTACAAACTTGTCATTGTCTTCTTCTTATTGTTTGTTTTGTTGTTATTCAAGCTATGGTGGCAAGCTCAGAAAACAAATTCACTCTCCAAACCAAGGATTGTGCATTCCTAAGGAAGCAATGCCTAAGTGATGCAAGTGGATGTGAACATGCGTGGAGAAAAATGGAGGACAGCTGCAATGCTTCAGGTGAAGCACCTTGCTAGAAATAAACACAGATGATTTATTTTTACTGACAAAAAGTCAGATTTCCTATTGTCTTATACAACTCTAGAAATGAAGTCAGTTTTCTGTTAATCTTGATATTCAGTTGATTCCTCTTCAATCACTTATTGGTGAAATTAGTTACAAATGGATATTGTTAGCCTGTACGTATTACATTGAAGGCAGCTTTACACAATATTTCAGATTATTTTCTTACTTATAGCATGATGAATAATGCTACAATTATATGCATGCTTCTCAGAACCATGGATGAAAATTTCCAAATAAAATATTATTTTACTAATATATTAACTTGTCAATGATAAAATAGAAAATGCATAACAATTTTTATTTGTATATTTACAATATGCATTTTATATTTTTGCAAGGTATAGTTTTCCATTCCAACTGTGTCAAGGAAAAATTAAAACATATTTTTACTTTTAATTTGTTCTGTATTCCAAAAATTTAAGGGGAGGTTCAAAAAGATGGAGCAAAGATTGGATATTTGCTAAAAAAAAGTCTGAACAGTCAAGTAGCTGAATAAATACTGAGTGAGAACATTATGGCAAGACTCCATTCACTAAAAGTAACCATAGCAAATTAATTCTATAGTGGTATCTTGCTTTCATATTGTTATTCCAAAAATTTTCAAAAAATACATTTTAACATAATGAAATCTTTACTTATTTTGTATTATGAGTAGTACAATCCTTTAAAAATCTGACTGGTTTTATTCTCTATTCTATAAGAGAAATCCAAAGGGGAAATAAAAATGTATCTTTGCATGACTCACTGATTCTTCACCTGTCTTGCAAGGAGTAGACCGTGTTCTGCTCACGACTCCGGTCTCTCCTCACATGATTCCTTGCTGTGAAGCCTGTTGAGTTAAGATCTTGGGATGGCCATAGCACAATCTCCACCAGCACACCCTCCACCCAGCCACCAGGTCCGAATGGGTAGCAAAGGATGTGGGGGAAAGGCAGGCAGTTCCTTCTCTTCTCCGCCCTCAGAAAAGTACCTGAAGTATTCACACTGAAAGGGAAGTCACAGCTATCTTGCCCAACAGTCACATTACTGTTTGAGACAAAGTATCTCAGAGGCATAATCTTCTTAATGTAACAAAAGAATTTTAAGATGGGGGCAGAAGGATGACAAAAATTCTGTTATTTGTTTTGATGATGAACGCCTTGCTATATTTTATAAGGCAATTTAAAATATAGTGTGTCATGAACTGTAATTTATGTATTTTAATATACAAATAGCAAGTCATTTGCAGTAAATTGTGATAATATTTGCATAATTATTTCATTCATGAAGCTGAAATAGAAATATTCCCAAATGCACAAATGAAGAGAATTCAAAGAGTTTTTTTTTTTAGAATAATGAATAAAATAATTGTTAGGTAGAGGTTTTTAAATTAAAGCAGAAAATGAAATATTGGTGGTTATGAAAGACTTACTTTTTTATTCTACAATATATATTGAGTGCTTTCACTTCATTTTTCTTAATAAATCTAGAGCCACCTACACATCTTTTACTATAGCCTCAGAATGATATGTAAAATATAATAGCAGAATTAAGACAAGATATTAAATAAAACAGCTAATCTTGCAAAATGGTTTAAACTAGGAAGCACTCTGATCACCTGTGTAAATACAGCCTTGAATACAACTGAGGAGCAAAAAGTGACCTTCTATATGGGGAGAAACTATTTTAAAATGTGGAAAGTTATATTTTAAAAAAGTACCTTATGAGAAAAACACAGTAACAATAGATATATTGCTTTAAATGTTTCTTATATGAAAACCCTGCAGCAACCCAGACAATCTTACTGTACTAATTAATTACTCATATTGATATATTAAAAGTACTTTGGGGAGGAGAACTCAACATTCATATTCAGATTAATATCTAGAGTCTTATATGTTTGATTGTGAAATACAGGTGACCCCTGCAAGATAAGTAACTCATCACACTGCAACCTGAGTATTCAATCTTTGGTAGAAAGCAATTCCCAATTTGAAGAGTGTGTCTGCACTGATGACTTTGATTGTACTGTGAACAATTTTCTTGGAAAAAAATGCGTCAATAAATCAGGTAAGACTTATTGATCCAGTTCTTCATTCCTAAGCTAAGTCCTGCTGCATTGTGATGTTTTTTACATATTGCTGGACTTAGACTACTAATGCTTTGTTGCTAGGTCTATGTCCAGGCAGATATTACCATACTTTCTTATCATATATTTGTCTGGTTCATTAGCTGACTAATGTTGGACTTCTGAAATGAATGAATGAATGGGGAAGTGTTTCCTTCTCTTCTATGTTTTGGAACATTATACAAAGAATTAGTATTACCTCTTCCTTCAATTATTGATTTAATCAACCAGTTAATAAGCCATGGTCACACTTCATCGCAAGTCCAAAGTTTAATTTCAATATCATTAGCTGTTGAATAAGCTTTGTTAGATTATATCTTCCATTTAGTTAATTTATGCTGGATTTTTATTTTTAGAGTTTCCATTCAACTTTCTTTTTGACGGTCATCTCTGTACTAAGTTGTTCCTAATAGTTTCTGATTGTTTTTACGTTTTTAGGAGTCATGGTGATGTTTTTTCTTTCATTCACATATTGATAATGTGTGTTTCTCTCCCGCTCCCTCTTGATCTTCTTTATTCCTTTCTAGGGGTTTGATTTAACTTAAGGTTGTTGTTCATATTCTAGTTTACTAAAATAAAATCTTGAATCACTCATTTGAGGTTTCCTTTGTTTCTCATGTAAGCATTGAATACTGTGACTATCCTTCCAAGAACAGTCTTAGTCATACCCATGAATTTTGATATGTTGCATTTTAATTTTTTATTCCAGTCACAATATTTTCTCCTCCTCTCCTTTGACTCATGGTTCATTTATAAGGTTGTTAATTTCCAAATATCTGAGATTTCCCAGATATTTTTCTTAATGATGTCTAGTTTATTACAATATCATCAGAGAACATATTTCATCTTATCCCAATTCTTAGTTAAATGATCCTTGTCGAATATCACTTGAACAACATGCCATATTCCACATGATGGTGTGCACAGATGCAAGCATCCACACACAAGGTACTTGAAGTCATAGAGGAAGAAATAATGTTGACCCAGAAGCTTTCATGGAATCAGTAGACTTAAGCTCTTTAGGATGAGTTGGTTTCTTAATGAGGTAAAACGAAATGGATGTTTTAATAAGTGGAAATAGAATGAGGAAGAGACATTGGGGAACAAAACATTCCTTCATTAAACTGGATTGTAGGATGGAGAAATATTAGGAAATGATGCTGGAAAGAGACCAGATATTTATATATGAAAAAGAAGACCTTACATATCTTTCTGAAGAGATTAGACTTTAAACCTTTGAGTTTAAAAGCTCCTCTGAGAAGAGCTTTTATGAATTTTAAAGAGAGAAATGCAAGATCAGCTTTTCAAAAATGGCATTGTCAGTATGTATAAATGGGAGGAAGGCAGAGACAGGTGCAGCCCAGGGATGTCAGATAAAAAAAAAACTATCAAAAATGTCAAAATAACACACTGTCTAAGAAGTATGAAAAAAAACATTTAGAGCTTATGTATGAGTTATAATTGATAGGAATTGGCTACCAGTTGGATACAAGGGGTAGGAAATATATTAATACCATAATACAAAGGTATTATGGTACCTTGTGAGAAGAAATAAAGAAGAAAATACAGGATTGAGGACACAAAGGATGATTTATATCCAGCAAACATTGCATCTGAGGCATATTTTGGGAACATTCAGGTTAGGGATATTGCTGTTTTTTTTTAAGTTTTCTGTGCTAAAAGTAAATTTTTTAAATAAAGAAGTAAATAAGCATGCCTCATCTAGCTGGCATTTGGAGTCAGGGATCTTGAGTGAAAATCTAAATTAGGTACAGATGTTGGAGTCAGAGGCCAATAAGTAGGCACAACATGAAGGAGAATAAGATTCTGCAGGAAAGGATAGAAACTGAGAAGAAAATTATGATGAAGAGGCTCATCATCTAAAAAAGAAACCAAAAAGAAGTTCTTAATGATTAGAAAAGAAACTACAGACTACAGAATTTCTGGATCCAGGGAAAAAGAAGACCACAGAGAAACCGTCAATAATTATAAATGCTGGGTAGTCAAATAAGATAGGGTCTGATGCCCGTGACTGCTTTTTACCAATCAGTAGATCATCACTAGTTTTAGCTTGGAAGAAGCTGAAATGTAAGCACATTTGAATGCTTATTAAATACTTCTTCAATTTTGTTTCAGACAGAAGACGTTGTCTATCTCAACAGCCATTTTACCATAGCAAGTTTTGACAAAATATTTTTACCTGTTAGCTTATGTATCCAAATTCTGAGCAGTTAAAATGAAGTTAGTTCACTTGCTAAAACCATTTTCCCAATAAGAATTGATTAAATGATAGAGTGTGGAAGTATGGATTAATCAGGCACACAAAGACCTTACAGTTAATAAGCAAAAGGAGATAACTGTGTGATCCCGAAATGCACTTCATGATGGACCTGACACAATTGGTCCATTGGCAAAGAGCATCTCTCTGAGAAGGAAAGGCAAGAGTCATTGAAATCACTGAAATCTTACCAGTCACTCTATCTTCACTGCAGCACCTTCCACAAATGCTTTGGTCACCTCCGCCACTCTCCTCTGCATTACCCAAACATTCCCCAATACACATATAAGCACAAACCTTTCTATTCTCAAAAAATTCAGCTTTAGTTTTCCTCTTTTTATATGCTTAAGCTCCTAATATAGTGCCTGACACTTAGTAAATTGACCACTAAATATTGTAAGTGTTTTTAATTCATTAAACATATTTGAACACTTAAATCATATTCATTCATAAAATGTGCATTACACAGTTAATATGTATGTATTGTATAAGCCCCAGGAATATAAAGTTGGATAAGGCAGCCCTGTTCTTTGGCAGGTGCACTATTGCTTGGGCCTCACTTCCGGCCACTTATGCTCTGGTTATTTGGAGATAGGTAACTTAGATTTTGATTCTCCTGTTTTACACTGTCTTTCAGTGTTGAGATGATAGTTAATGTGCCACCATGCCCGGCTTTTTTCCATTGAAATTGGGGCTTGCAAACTTTCTTAAATGGGCTGGCCTGAACTGTGATCCTCTGTATCTCAGCATCCCAAGTAACTAGGATTAGAGGAGTGACCACCAGTGTCCAGGTTAGTCCCTGTTACTGAGCAGATGACTTTTTAGAATGAAGTGGACACTTAGCCAGATTATTTCATATATGTATTCAGTTAAATTTTACATATATCATAAAACAGATTGACATTTAAGTAGATTTATGGCTTATTTCAAAAAATAGAATTATGAATATAACAGAGTTAGTTGTCTGAGGATGAAATTCATTTACATGCATCCTTGTCACTCATGCCTAGTCATGCTAGCTATTGGGGCTCAAGAGAAGGTCTTTCTGTCCTTAGTAAGGGGTCTGATTTATATAATTACGGTGATTCATTCATGAGTCCTTATTTGAAAATGTGAAAGATGCCATGTTAGCATGTGTTTCAAAACATACACTTCACAGCTGAAACTGTGAGCTGTGTTCGTATGTAAATGTTTTCAAAAATGAGTCTGGTAATATTGTCTTGTGTAAGTACGAAGCATTTAAAAAATTAATACATGGGCAACACATTTAATAAAAAGATATTTTTAACTCCGCAACAAAAAAAGGAAAGAAAGCAGCACAATTCAGAAGAAAAAACAATCCTGAGGGGAAGAATGCCAGCATCTGGGAAGCGGAGGCCTTGCTGCAGTAGCCCCAGAAGACAGCATGTTTCAGAGCCGGACAGTGTACGTCCAAGAGCCTGTGCCAAGCTTACGCAGAATTACAAGGAAATTGCTTTTCTTATCTTCTTTCTATAAAACTTATGTAGTCTGGGATTTTTGGATCTGTCTGAGGGCAATATAACCATCAAGGGGGGAATAAATACTCATACTCAAGTGTAAGCAATAATGTCTTAGCTTACTATGTAAAAGCACACGCACACACAATAGACCAAGTGTATTAGTGAAACTAAAGTTTCATGAAGGGAATAAGGAAATGAAGAAAAAGCTGTCTAAAAAGGCTTGTTGAAGGGGCAGTAATGACAGAAGATTGAGAAACAGTTTAGTAAAGGCATGTTTACAGGAGAAAATGGAAACTCATTAAATTTATATGAAAAATAATGGATCAGTGGGTTGGGAGTCTGGCTCAAGTGGTAGATCACCTGCTTAGCAAAGTGTAAGGCCCTGAGTTCAAACCCAGTGCCACCAAAAGGGAACAATAAGAAAAGAGAAAATAATGTTTTATCTCATGCATATTTTAAGTTAAATATGGCTTTTTACAAATCAGCATCAAAACGTAATGAGAACGCAAAAGTAAATGATAAGCAGAAAATGTCATTAAAAGACACTGAACATTAATGTGTGGTTCTACAAAATATAAATTAACATGCGTTAGGTCTCACTTTAAAAAAATCAAGATCATTTGTAATAGCGCCCCTTAAATACTTTTCAAAATGATTTTAGAAGATAAGGAATATTGAAAGTTTTGTGAAAGTCTGCCTAGATACTTTAAAAAATGTATTGAAGAGTCATATATAAATGAACTTATTTGACTTTTAGTCATTCTTTTACTTTACTTCCAGAAGAATCATCACTGTCCTCAGATTTGGCTTCACAGTCAAACAACACACAGTGGTTCCATAAGAACGGTACATTGATAATGGCTAAGAAAGAGGGCAACTGTGTCACAGCAGCACGCATCTGCCAGGAATCTGAACGCTGCACTCTGTCATATGAGGATTTTAAAAAAATGTGTAGCAAAGAAGCAGAAGAATGCAAGAGCCTTGGTGGAAGACAGCTATGTGTAACGTTAAGAGAAAGCCTGAGGGAAACGGTTTTGTGGGACTGTCAGTGCCAGGACCCTTCAGAAGCAGAGTGTGTGAAAGTCAGGAAGAGTTTGCTTGAAGACATTTGCATACAGAATGCTCAGCTGAATCAAGCCCCCACCTTACAGGACGACCATGAAGATACATTCAGTCAGGGCAC